TTATTTTGCAGTATTTCTGTTTCCTGTGTCCCACTTTAGGGGCTGCATCAGGTCGCAGTGCGCAGATGCAGGCAACATCACTTCCTCAAGCCCCACTCGCGGCATTATTTAGACCAGTGCTTCCCAACCGGGGTGCCATCTGTCGAGAGCAGGGGTGCCGTGTAAAAAAATAATTTTTAAATATTTTTAAATTGCTAAAATGTTCAAAAAAGCAGCTATTATATAATATCCATTTCTAATGTCACCAATAATTAGAGATGCACTGAAATTCCGGCTGCATCACCGCTCAGGATTTAATTAGTTCACCGCTCAGGATTCACTTTCACGTGGTGTGATGCTTTGTGTATTATCCCGCTCTATGCGTGTGTGCTCCGCTCAGTCGCTCATGGCCCATGTGAGTGCTCCATCATATACCGTTCATGCTCATCAGAACAGCAAAGTCCACTCAAAAATTGAGCCGACAGGAAACATCGATGTAATACAGTATTGTTTCTGTTTGCAATAGCCCTACTGTGTTGTAACAGTTGTAAATTCAAATCAGAGCGTCTTCCGTGTCTGGAATGGATGTATTCTTGAGTCTATAAGGTAACAATAATATAATAAGATAACCTTGTTTGAAATGGGTTTGGCTAAAATAAAATTTTGGTTTCGTCTATACTACTAGGTATTTATACTATATTTACTGGGTTAAATAGAATTGCATTACTAAAAAGAGACTTAAATACAATTTTCATTGACTAAAACTAGACTAAATGTCATCAGTTTTTGTCGACTAAAACTAGACGAAAATAGTCATGGATAATTCTGACTAAAATAAGACTAAAATGCTCAGACTTTTAGTTGACGAAAACTTGACTAGACTAAAAAGAATATGAACGTGACTAAAACTAATAAAAACTAAAATGACAGCTTCACACAAAGACTAGACTAAAACTAAAATTAAAACAGGCCGCCAAAAACAACGCTATATTTAATATATGAACATAAAGTACTTTTCTGAAATGTATACATGCATGTGTGTGCATTTATATATACATAATAAATATACACAGTTCACACACATATATTATGTAAACAAAAACTTTTATTTGGGATGCAATTAATCGTTTGACAGCACTAATTACAATATAAAGTTTATTTATTTATTTAACAAACACAGATGTTCCAATGCATATCAGTTACCAGTGTATATTAGAACAACAAACAGAAGCCGTATTTAGCTTGAGTATGTATTTGGATATGATATTGATATGAGGATTGTTCCATAATGTGTAATAAAATAGATTTTCAGAAAAAAAAAAATCTATTTTAGACATTCCACCCATTATTGTTAAATTCAGCTATTTACAGAGACATTTTTTAAAAGTACCATTTTATCCACAATATATTTTTAAGCTAAAGGAAAATGCATTTAAAAGTGCTTATAGCAACAACCTAATTTTAATGTTGTAATGCAACTCTAGAATTTTTGTTTTTTTGCAGAAAAAAAATATAATGGTAACATAATTGAAAATTATAATAATAAACCTAAAAACGAAAAAAAAAAATTAGACCCACAAGTGTAAAATCAAGCATATAGAAAAGTTGCTTTTTGCCAAATAAGAATGCACTTTCTTACAGTCTTTGTATGCTTACCATGCGACAAGCTCTCCGCTGAGATTCCCATAGTTAAATCAAGCTGTTGTGTGCTTTGACACCTCTGATTTTTAACCAGTAGGGAGTCCAGGGTCCGTCACGGGTTAGCAGGCAGGTGAGGTTCCTCTGAAGTGCCCAATCGATTTCTTTCCTCCCAGAAACCCTGGTGGCTAAAAATCTATCCCACATAACATCAAATACCTCTCAGACCATGCGTATGTCCTCTGGCGTATGTCCTCTGGCTTTCTCCCTGCTGCTGTTGGGAGCTGACAAAGGCCCCTCAAGTCATTTCCAGAGCTGGCGTTTGGCATGTCGTCCCTAGGAGTGTGATTGTGTGACCTGTGGACTGTGTGTGTGACAGTGTCCATTGAGCTGCTAAAAGCTCTTAATAACAACACCAACCACTTCAACACTTCTCAGAAAACACAATCGGGATGGTGACCTTTAGTCTGGTCAAATCACAGCACTGCAAAAAGCACTTTAACTCAGAGTACTTCCTTTTTACAAATAAAAGCAAACTGAGGTTTTTTTTTTTTTATCAGTGGTGAAGAAGCTACTAGATTCTCTTAACTCTCATAAGTAGATAAATTATAGTTATGAGACTTTTGAAAAAGTGTTCTGCTTTTCAAGCTGCTAAAGAAAGATCTGTTTTGGGAGGAAGTACATTGAAATAGGTGGATCGATGCATTGATAATTACAAGATTGAACAAAATAAAAAAATGGCCCATCAAGTCTTCACTGGGCCTCAAAAGAATCAGTGATTCATTTTTGTACTCTGTGTTTGATTATTGCTTCAGTTTGTTCAGCTGCAAAGCTTTGGGTTCCAGCAACATAATATAATGTGAAAAAGGTAGCATTTTAACATGTTACACTGCTTTTAGTTGGAAAAAAGTTAAGTTGTGGTCATATTAGCAAAATCTCATATTAGCACAGCTCACATAGAAGTCTCTTTCAAACCAAACTGCTTACTTTTGATCAACTTAGAGAATTCGGGAGACCATCTTGAACACAAGCAACATCTGCATTTAATCTATAAACTTTTTTTCTCCTCAAGCAAAACTCTCGATTTCGTATATATTCCTGTCTAAAATGACTGGATTTCGCCTGTAATAATTCACCAAGCAACGGTAAATGTGACAGCGCTTATCTGCAAAAATGGCATATTTTGCTTAAATCCAACCAAAAACCAACTCGAGCCCACCTTTGAACAATTATTTAAACCAGTACAAGTCTGTTCTTTCTGTATGAGTAATGACTTTTAAGCAGTAAATAATATATGAGCCTCTGAAAATTCACCCAGGGTTATATTTATTTATTAGCCTGTTTTCTCTCATTAGACTCCATCTGACATTTGATCTGACCACGGCTGCACTTTCCACATGAGTCTAGACTGTGTCACCCTTCAAATTAATGAATATGAAGGGGTGCCGCGGCAAGTAAAGCTCTGTAATATAAATAAAAATGGTATTTAAACCAGGATCCAGCTGATCTCCTGTCAGGCCCGGCTGTCTCTCCTCCCATTCATTATACAGCTTTGTCACCAGCGTCTCTCTTTCACTCCACCTCCTCTTCTCCTTTTCCTTTTCATCCTGCCATCCTCCAGCGAGGACCCTTTGTAGTGACACAAAGCATGTGTGTTTGTCTATGACAGGTGTGTTAATGTGCCTCTGTTTAGCACATTGGGTGCTAATGGGAGTCTTTGCTGTGAAGAGAGCAAGCGCGACAGGGTAACCGCAGAACAGAAAGAGCGTGCGTCCAAGCTCAAGAGGTGAGATGGAGCTCTAATTTGCCTCGGCTCCAGACAAACCCCACTCTAATCCCACATCGGGCTGTCAAATAGGGCAGAAGATCCAGGATTCTGTACCTAAAGAACCACATGTTTGAAGTGTGCACCCTGCTGCCCGCCTCTCTTTGTGTCTGGAACAGTCTGCCTCAAGGACAAGTTAAAAGTTTAGTCGAATGAAATCCCTCAGAACTCTTCAAACCCAAACGGCCGGAGGCCTGTATGGATTAGCGATTTCTCTTCAAAGCATGGAATCAAGATTTTGGCTGCTAATTTACACATTTGAACAAAATGTCAAAATTTCTGGTGCTTTTGCATGCCAGGTAATGACTACTTTTGAGACAGCTCTGTCAAGGCAAACCTCGATTATCAATTTAGCACATCAGGTGAGCCTTTCCAGCAATGTGAAAGCCGAGAACGTGGTCTGCTGAGAGTTTCTTTGAGGTTGCACTGTGGTCTCAGGAGGTCTTGATTTATTGTGTGGTTGAATTAGAGGGAGAATCTCTCTTGTAGTGCTGGAACCTTGCTGGCCCATAATATTTTTCAGTGCTCTCAATCTTGTTGTATCTCTGTGTGCAGTGTACCAATCTGTTGCTCAAAGTTGTTTTTGTCTCTGCACTCTGCTTATTGTGTTTTATCTGTACTGAAAGCCATTGTGCTTTGTAGTGGCCATGCTTGTCTGCTCTTTTTTAAGGCAGGGAAGCAGGGAATGGTCTGTTGAGTAAATATGTGGAATTTTTTCAAATCTCTGTACACTTTTTCATTTGAAGGGGGATGTGACCCATCAGGTCATGGGTAATTCTCAAAACTAGACGCTATTATCTCCTTGCCATTTTGTAAGTGACCCAGCCACCAATTAATCCATAAAACTAAGAGCTGTCAATCAAATCAATGTGGAAATGTAAAAGTATTGCTGTGAAAATTAAATAATATAGCACTAGGTAGCATTGACTTTTCTTTGAACAATTAAAGTTAATGGCAGTCACATCTGCAAGAGAAAGATTTGTTTTTTTGCTATTAAAGAAGTTTCACACAATGTGTAGTTTATACTGACATGAGATGAAGATTAATCTAGAAAAAAAGCTGTTTTATATTACATAAGGATAACACAATTTTGATGTCACACAGTTACTAGTGAGCAACATAAACTTAAGACACAATATTATAAGTTACTTTATCTATTTTTACTCCTATTTAATGGCAAAGAAAACAAAGTTGCAGCAGAATCAACTGTTGTGATTTAAGGACCCACTCAAAAACACAGTAACTTGTTTTGTTCCTGAAAGAATCAATGTTTGTGAGCGAATAAATCAGTGTGAGTAAATGTTTCAGTGATTTAGTCATAACTCATCTTAAATGTGTTTGAACAAACCTGTTGAGTGATTCAAGGCTTCACTCTTAAAAACAGTCACCTGTTTTGTTCCTTAATGAATCAGTGTGTTTAAATGGATTGTTAAGTGCATCATTCAGTGACTCGCTCATAAAGACAGTAACTTGTTTTGTTCTCAAATGTTTGTGAGCGAATCAATGAATGAATTTGTGGATTTGTTTAAATTGATTGTTGAGTGAATCATTTAGTGACTCACTCATGATGTCAGTCACTTGTTTTGTTCTCAAATAACTCAAATGTTTGCTAGTGAATCGATAAATTAATAATTATTTGTCTTACTCACAAAGATACAATGTAACCTGCAGAAAGAGTTAATGAAAAATCCCCACATCTAATTCAAGGACATGATAGTCTGTCTGGAATTTGCAAATGTAGACAAGAAAAAGTGACAAGTCTTTTGTTATTAGACTACACATCAGGACTCTTTAAACTCAGCACCAATTGAATCTAAGGACCGGAACAAACTGTCCAATATTACTGCACAAAAACTTACTTTAATGCTGTTTTTATTAGTCATACATTTCTCTAGTAAAAAGAGTTATAAGTATATATATATTTGTACAATGGGAGATTTATAAGGATTACCTGTAATATGTTTTGCAGCTGTTAACTGTATTCTGATCAGTCATTTATTGAAAGTGTTCTTCCCATATGTCCCTGGGCAGTCTTCTAAGACCAGGTGTGTGGAAAAGCAGGTGGCACTCTGAGAATAAATAGAGACTAGCAGTCAGCCACACCTGGTGATTTGAACCTAAACCCCCTCTGATTATCTCCATTACGCGAGTCACTGGTCCATGCTCCCATAATGCCACTCGACCAAACTATAGTCTTTTCTCTGACCTAATCCCCCCTGCCTTTCTGGCTAGTGGGAGTCAGTCTGAACTTTGATGTCTAGTGACGGAGAACAAATACCTGCTCTCTGCTGAAGGCAGGACTTGATTTCTCCACCTCCGCAGGTTTACCCAGCCCTCCCCGCTATGACCTGACATTAAATACACAAGGACTGAGGGCAAGAGGTGTTGATCTGATTTGAAATTGAGGCCTCCGTGAGTAACAATCTGAGACAGGCCTCAAGAGGCTGTTTTTAACTTTAATAGATGGACACCACAAACACTTGGCGAAGAAGCAGGAAATGAATAAATTTAGGAAATGTTTTTCCGAAGTAATTCTATGCACAGAGCTTTTATCATGTCTGTCAGTATGAATAATGATGAGCCAGACACACTATGTCTTTGTGTCTGGAGAAGCAAAAATGCAATATAACAATGAATAAATTCACAGTTGGTTCCTTATAGAAAAGACTGTATGCAATTGCGAATTCAATTTGGGATCATGTATGCATTTGCATTCGTTTCAATGGCTGTTGCATACTATAATGAAATATTATCAATGTTTGTTGGTTGCACATCATTTAATTTAGTCAGAATACGTAACTACTTTTGGATGGCCGTCAATGGAGAAAGATGCTTTTTGGTGCAGCGGACAATGAGGTCATGCTAACTAGTTAAAGTTTGACATCTTGATCATTTTATTTGCTCATATATGTTATTGTTCATGTGCATTTTGATGGCTAATTGATTTTTGAATAATGTGTAAATTGCAATGTTTCCAGGCACCTTTTAGGTCATCTTCACTTTATTAAAGGGAAAGTTTACTGGAAAATAAAGATTGTCATAATTTTCTCTAAACAGACAGACTTGCTTCTGTGAACTACATATTTTAACTGTTTTTATCCATATTCAATAGGACTCAAAATAGTCAAACTCCAAAAAGGATGCTACATGTAAAAGTAATAACATTTTTATTTGACTAGTGTCACCATGTTTGTTTTTTGGTTTGATTTTGTTTGGAACAACATGAGGGTAAGTAAATGATGAAATAATATGAATTATCCCTTGATTTGATGAGATTTGGTTTCTAATGAGTTTGAGAAGTCAGATGTCAAAGGTCATGCCAGTTTTGTCATGTGACAGGGCTTTTACTGTTTAACAGAGGAACATTTCACATCTTGAGATGGGTCTGCCACATATTAAAATATGCTCCTAAATTCTGATTATACATAAGAGCTATTCAATTCAAGTTTATTTGTATAGCGCTTAAAATGATACAAATCATTGCAAATCAACTTTACAGAAAATTAAGTTTCTACAATATATTTAGTAGTAGCTTATCAGTGGTGACTGTCAGTTAATGTACATATGGCAGAAATGTACGGGAAAAATCAATTAAAGATGTAATCAAACAGACGATGAACACTATTAACAGCAATTATTATATGATGCAATCAAACTTATAGCAAAATTTGGTAGTTCTGTATGTTGTTTCAGGGTTGGCATCATCTGAGGTCCTCTGAGGGATTGGCATCATCTCTTCTCAGGTGTTCTGGATCCAGACTGAAGCTTGTGTAAATGGCAAAAACAGAGAAACAAATAGAGACATAATTAGCGTAGCTGCTGTTCCAACCAAGCAAAATTGATTTGTTTAACTCAGGCTAAAGAATAATAACGATATAACTGCAGTACGAGATTATGAGATGCATTATTTGAATGCTTGGCCAAAGAGATGTGTCTTTAATCTAGATTTAAACAGAGAGAGTGTGTCTGAACCCCGAACGTTATCAGGAAGGCTATTCCAGAGTTTGGGAGCCAAATGCGAAAAAGCTCTACCTCCTTTAGTGGACTTTGCTATCCTAGGTACTACCAAAAGTCCAGAGTTTTGCGACCTTAGGGAGCGTGATGGATTGTAGCGTGGTAGAAGACTAGTTAGGTACGCAGGAGCTAACCCATTAAGGGCCTTACAGGCAAGTAATAATATTTTGTAACTGATACGGAACTTAATAGGTAGTCAGTGCAGAGACTGTAAAATTGGGGTAATATGATCATATTTTCTTGACCTGGTAAGGACTCTAGCTGCTGCATTTTGGACTACCTGTAGCTTGTTTATTTAGGGTGCAGGACAACCACCTAGCAGTGCATTACAATAGTCCAGTCTAGAGGTCATGAATGCATGAACTAGCTTTTCTGCATCAGAAACAGGTAACATGTTTCGTAGCTTGGCAATGTTTCTAAGATGGAAGAATGCTGCTTTTGTAACATGGG